ACAAATGCCGAAGACGAACGACATTCGACTTTGGTATTTGTAGTCGACTAGAAGTGCGCTTCTACACTTTGACATCGAACAAAGTGGCGAATGGCAAACGTGGCCGAACTTTGCAAACTTTGTCGTCCCGGCCACGATGCCATTGCACCACAAACCGGTAACGCAGCAAGCGGCACCGCCTAGTCCAACTTGCAGCATTTGTCAAACTCCTTGCACTATTTCTCTGCATTTGTTCGATCGGTCCTTAGAATTCATATAATTTCCCAAGGTGGAAAAGATGTGGACTCGTTTGTAAAACCTGTACCATTTTTTATATTGTGCCAAAATTAGTTTGTTTAATCTAAAAAAGTTCACAAACCATACAAAATTTCAATTCTTGCTTAAGTATGTACTTTATAAATCAACATTCCTGTGCATAGAAGTGATTGTAAATAATATATTTAGGTTTTTGTATGCAAATAATTAGAAAATGTTAACAAATTTATCACTAAAATGTCCCATTTGAGATTGATTATATATACAGTATATATATATGTATACACTTATATATTTGTACAGACATGTACAATACTTAGTTATTTTGTTGGAGAATTGTTGAAAGTTTTAAGCTTTATGATGTAGAGAAAAAATACTAATTTGCTTGATGTTATCAAATAAATAGATGAAAAAATATCATTTATATTTTTTAATGTATACTGTATTATGTTAATAAAATCCCTATAATACAGTTTTTGTTGGAGTTCACTTATGTTTGAAGCGTATAAACAAATATATAAGGCTAATTTACACTAAAGTATTTGATGCCTGAGATGTTCGGTGGGTGTTACGTGTTCAGAATTATATATCCTTAAACACAAGTACTTGCAAAATTACTTTTGTCAACCGGAAATCTCTAAATTGGTGCACAAATCCTGCATTGGTCCCTACAAATTCACTTATTGTTGCACCCCGATTACTCAAATCCGTGCCCTCTCGCAGTCGGTGCTGTGGGTTTGTGTATCTCTGCCTCTTATTTGTGTATTGATCGAATGGCTACGTAGTAAGATGTTAACAAACGTCACGAAGACCTTCAAATCTAATCCACATTCAAAATTTATCGTGTGGGAAGTCATTCTCCATTCCTTGTTCAGGCCGAGGGCACAGAGAGGACTTTTTTCATCTGTGATCCTCACGAGTTTAGATAGGCATTTAATTAATGGGAAGAATCGGGCAAGACCTATCATCCATTTGAGAATTGCTTGCCCAGATTTGATCCAGGAGCGGACACCGCTATTCCATCCTGACCGGCAACAGCTACAAGCGTACCTTTTAAGTTTTACAGCAACAAAATTGATGATTTGTATGGCAAAACACAATTGGCCTCAGTGATTTGAATTGAAATTCAATTGAGAATCGGTCCACACGACCCCATTTTGAGCCCAACGGCGGCCAAACGGATAAAACCGGTCGTGGGTTTGTGCCTCACCAACAGTCCACGCGGAGTTTTCCGGGTTTTCTTCACGTGTCTAGTTCCTAAGTAGGGACAATTTCCCATTGAAAATCTTTTCGGGCGATACATCTCATTGGCAGATTGCCTTATCCCATCGATCTCATGACCCCATTGAGGATCGGCCCAGCCTGTAACGAGCAAACTTACACAAAAACGTTTATAACGGCACATATCGCCTAAACGGAAGTTAGGTACACTAGAAAGGCGTTAAATCGCGGTAACTCGTTTATAACACAGCCCGAAATTCAAACGTTAAATCGAGCTTTCGAGAAAGCGAAAATATTTTCCGCTCGTTCGATATTCAAATTATCGGAACTTTAATATTATAAATCGATATTTAATCGGATAATGACAAAATATATTACGTCATAATTAATTAATTAAATATCGATATTTAATTAATTCTGACGTAACGGTCGAATTATTATTTTATCCTATCGTCAATACCTTAATAATAATTAATTATATTTAAATTTTATATAAAAAATATTAAAATAAAATAATTTCTAATAAATAATTTTCCCGTTCGGTATCATTTTGGCTATTTTTCTTCTTTTCCTAGCGACGTAACACGGCAATTCCGTTGCGTGGGGTCATTTATCGTCTGGCAAGGAAGAGGTGAGGATAGATGTCGAATTTCTCTAATTTTGCCGTTAAAAATAATTTTTTACAGATATATTTCGTTTAAAATATTAATATTTATTGTATTAATCGTTGATTATTTCGGATTGATACGTGTTAAGTTTGGATGGTTTCGTTGTCTCCTATGAAATGAATTTTTCGTTGTTACGATGTGTAACAATGAAACTTGACGTCACACGTGACTATTTGAAACTACTGTAAGGAATTTAATTGTTAATTTTCCTTTGTTACGTATATGTATACGTAACAAAAGGAAAATAATGGATCGTGTCAAGCTTAACCCTCCGAATTTTTTGCAAATTCCACGTGTTGAGACCGGAAACCAAAAATGTAAAAAAAAAGAAAAAAATTAATGGACGTGACCATGTGTGTCGGCCACTACTTCGCTTAATATCTCAGGATGGGGTAAAGTTTAAGAAACGAAGTTTCACACGTTACCTCGTATATGAGGGGCATTGACGCTATTAAATTTTGAAGGTGAAAAGTCGAGAGGGTGAGGTGGTCTATATAGATAGGGGTAGGACTTAAGGTACCTTTATATAGATCAAATCACACATGTAGACCATGTGCTTTGGTGAATGAAATCTTTAGTATGTAGTGTAGTTTTACAAGGATCAACTGAAACGAAGGGCAGCTATGAGACCGAGACGGGTGTCGAACATTGACAACGCTCGTCCCTTTTGATTTTGATGGAGGGCGATTGGTTGAATCTTTTCCCAACTTTGTGTTAATTTTGTTGCCCAGTGTGCATCTGCCTAACAATCTATATCTAATGTTGTGGAAGGAATAGGCTGTGTGTTTATTCTGGAAATTGGGTATTAATTGCATAAAAGGTACAGAATCCAGCAGTTCTTTCAAATTTTTAAAGATTTGATTTTTGGAGGATTAAAGTTTCTAATGGTTAAAGTCAAAATGACTGTCGAGTATGTTGCGATGCTGTTGATTCGTATATTTTCAAATTAAATTAATAAAAATGCTCCTATATTTTTTACATCAAGAGCTGTAATGGGAATTTTTAACTCCAAGCTCTGAAAATTTCTTCTTTCTGTGTACCTGGAGACTGGATTGTTTGTGCTTCCTTGAGCTACGATGGGAATTTGTGTGGCAACGCCAATTGGACGACTTTCCGTCAGGCCAATTTTGTCTCGAATGGATAAAGCCGATTTCGTGCCATTATGAAATGAATCATTAAGTTGAGTTTAAAGAATGTTTAAGAAATTAAAATTTACAAAACGATTCTTCTAAGAAATACTTTTAAAATGGTACATTAAGTGTTAACTATGCAAAGTAGATCCTTTGAGTCGTTTACTGACAAGTGGACGTTTCTAAAGTCGGAGCGGTTTCGTCTGAAATATGATGCAAATTGCTTCATATGGATGGATATTTATCATTTTAAATTTTAATTCGCAGTGTTTAGACCCAAGCGGACATAGAAATGTCGATATTGCTGGATGCTGATTTCTATACAAAATGAACAATTTCTTTAAATTTCATTAGTTTTGTTTGAAAGGTTGTCGGGATAGAGCACGTGTGAAGAAGGGATGTAGTATTTGATGGCCGTTTCGTTAATGATTCATATAACTTAATATGTCGAGATAATTGAAGCTAACTCGGTACAAAAAGGTTTAATTTGAATAAGTTTCTATAAGATTGTAGCAGTTAACAATTCAAAGAACAAATTTACGTATCCCTTCTGGCTCACATCCAACGACAGTCGATTGTACTGTCTGTGGGAAATTTATTCGAGGGGTATAACAATGCTATCGAAAACTTACGGCAACCAAACTCTGTTTCCGTAAACCTGTCGATAGATACATAACTTAGTGTTAATTACTAAATAAATTTCTGCATGCTATGTTTTAAGTTTAAGAAATTAATTATATTTATTGAGTTGATTGTGAAATTGCAGAATTTTTTGGAATTATTTTACGAATAGGTGGTTGGACGGCCGTTGATGAGACGGTGACTTAATGCGGTAGGAAATCTGTATTGTGTGTGTTATGTTGGCTGACTTTTTTGCATTTGTGTTTTCCGTAACTACTAAATTGCATTTGTCCATAAACATTATTGTTCCGGTGCTTTGTGTTGACAAAACAGTTTATAAATAATTCGTAAAGTAATTCCATAATTTTAAAATTCCTTTCCTTTTATATTGAACAATTAAAGGTGTAATTCCATTCAATGTAAGTTAATACAGTAGAGCGTTTGTTATCCGAAGGAATTCCAGTCGACAAATTTAAATTTTTGCCAGTGCTGTGGCACTGTAATCTTTGGCTATGTCTTGGGGTACTCAAATATTTTACGTTTTTGATACTAAATTAACTTCTGAAGTATAATTTTTTATTGTTTTTATATTTTTTAATATATTTATTTTGTTTGTACAAAATAAAAAAATAATTTTTAACGATACAATAGTCTTCGTTAGGCTTAACATCTACGAAAATTCAACGCAAAGCGACACGCAACGGAGAAAAATTTCAACACGGGATAAATTAATATATTTTTTCGTACATAATTGGTTATCCGAAAAATAAGTTATTTGAACAACCCCAGTCCCCAATTGATTTGGATAAACGACACTCTACTGTATGTTCAACAGTTGTAACAGATTTGTCAGTAGTATTATTTAAGATAGCTTGCGAAGGTAAATAATTTTTGACCTGTGTTTACTGACTTGTACATTCTATTTTTGTAGGTTTTGATAGCAATTACAGTCGACCCTCCCCCTATAACACTATTGATTACTCCGTTTTATATGAATTCCATGTTATACGAGTTACTTAGATTTTACAAATACGTGAGCCGGGCTGTGAACAGCTCACATACTTGTAAAATCTAAGTGACTCGTATAACATGGAATTCATATAAAACTGAATAATCAACAGTGTTATAGAGGGGCCTACTGTATATTGTGAAATTTCCAAAGACAAAGCAAATTAGTATGAATGCTCATGTTGCTACACCTGTATCTATGAGCAGTTATAAGGTAATTTTTATTTTATACTAGCTGTTACCCGCAGCTTCACTCGCGCGGATTTTGCAAGCAAACCCTATTTACATTCAATATTTCAACAACCACTGTAATTGTTATATAACAGGGGTGGCCAACCTGCGACTCTTTGAAGGATTATTTGTGGCTCTCGATAGATGTACCAGAGTTCCCATTTCATTTTTGTATTATTATATTTTTAAAAATTATTATCGTTCCGTATGTGTTTCAAAATGTCTTTTAAATTACTAACAACAAATATGAAAGACTAAGTGCAACGTTGTAACAAATTTCATTTCCGTCCAATTTAAGAATGATATGATTCATCGAAAACTGCGCGAACGAACATAAACAGTGGCGTTATCGACCGACTCAAGACCGATTTTGAATTTGTCAACTGTCATTGCAACGGACAGTTGACATTGTGCTCTGGAGGAAACAATTTGTATCACTCTTGCTACGGATATAATTTGTATTCTGGAATTTTTTGCATACCTTTTTAATATGTATTTAATTGCGGTTCGCAAAAAATTTCAAATTTTGAAAAATGGCTCGGACTATCAAGGAGCTTGGCCACCCTTGTTATATAACACCTACTGCTGAGAATCAAACAAACTGTTTTCAATTTGATCAGTTTTCTGGAACATTTACAATCGCTCTATAATCGAACCAATATGCAAAAAGAAATTCAAATTTAAAACAGTTCAAATATTTGGTTAAAAGATCGAAATATATAAAAAATATTTATAACAATGTCTGAAATATTATCAATTTAATACCCCTAAGTACTCAATGAAGACTAAACGTAATTAAAAACAAAAAAATCGCATCTAAAATAGTACAGTAGAAGCCGTTCTTCAGGTTTAGTCTTAATGCTCTCCCTCTCCCCCCGCAGAGGAATTTTGAGAAATCCCTTCTTAGTGTGCATTTTCATGACTTACCCTAACTGTGTACCAAATTTCACCTCTAGGCTCTGGAACTTTCTAGAAAAAACTGGAACATTCTCATTGAAGTATCACACATTTTCGAAGTCAACCACTTTCAAACCCCGTATCTCTCACACCCTTATAGCTATCGAGACGCAACCACCATAGTGCACGATGGGAGAGTTGAGGCTACTACCACACACAAACAACATTCATGTGCGATGTGTAGCTTTGGCTGCAGAGTGACGTATAGGCACAAACACATCCATTTATATATATAGATAGATATGTATAATACTTAATTTTTAAATGGAAGCCTGACTTTATATAGTATTGGCTGTTATGAGATAATGGAAATTGTAGATGTTGAGATTTTAAATGTTTTTGCAACTGTTTGCTTTTATATTTGTGATATTTTAATTCTCAAGTTTTGTTTTATTTGTTTTTTTAGATACAAAGAAATAAAATGCACCTTAGACGACTGATATCTAATGTACAAAAATGTTCATAGATGAAATGGTGCTTATCGAACATGCCAACTCTGCTAGTTACTGTATCGAGGTTAAAAATTCATAAATTTTTAATAAATTAAGACTTTTTGGAAATTACAATAGATGAGAAAAGCTGTATTGAAAGATGATGGCATCAAACTATGAGGTATTTAAATGATGATAATATATGTTTCCTTTTAGTGTTATTTCATAAACCAGAATTAATTGTAGTCTTATTTACTTCTTAATATTAATTTGTTGATGTTAATAGTACAGGCAAGTCTTAAAGTGATTATTTATCTATGTAACCCATTCAACGTGTGTCCGTCCATCTGCGTAACAGTATGCCAAAAACGGGCACTAGAGGGACCCTAGTGATGATTTTAAATTAACAGTAAATTAATTTTATTTGTAATAGGAATTTATTATTTATATCACGGAATGGTATAAATAATTATTGTATGCCTTGATTAACCTTGCGCCGCACGTTTACATTCCATGACTGTGAACGTCACGCACGCATTGACTCACGGGAAATTTGTTGAAAAAATGGCAGATACATTTAAAATCGAGGTTTACAAGTGAAGGTAAATAAACAAATTAAACTATTTTAAAGTATTTATAGAATGTTTAATAGGTAGAAATCTATATTCGTATGACGCGATTGGGACTTTAACAGAGCTGTAGAGCATATTGATAGGAACAAAAAAGTCAAAGGAACCATGCCTCGTGGGAATTTGTAAAGATCGCCCACTAGGGGCATCCCAGGCTACTAGTATTAGATTGTACTGAACTATATTTTGAGATGAAGATCTCTGTCAAGATTGTTCTTGTTAGAGCCAGCATCTCAGAAAGAATTGCTGCTGTTATAATTCCTGCAGAAAGATTTTATTCTTGTGTAGAAATTAAAAACTACAGCTACATTTAATATGAAAAAATTTTAATATAATTTAATTAATTAAATGTATATTTTTCAGATTATCAACAAGAAATCGCAGTAATGCTGCTTGCGATCTTTGAAGTCTGTGGCAGCGTGATATTGATTTTCACGTAAAACAGGTTTGTGTTAGGATTACAATTGGATTGAATTTGATTTTATTGTTTAATTAATTTGTAAAAACATCAATACAAATCAAATGATTATATAAAATTGTAATGGTATTGCTATGGCTCTTGTACAGTACATAATTTCATTATGTAATAATTTGCCTAAATAAATGAAATTGAGCAGGAATACACCATTTATAATTTGTAGTGAACTTTTTTATGATGATGATACAATATAAATCTAGTGAGATTGTTGATGGGTTTTCGAAGCAGAGCTTAAAATGCAGAGTTGCTATGTTGCCCATTATATATCAAGTTCTGTATAAATTTAGTAATATCAAAATGTATTATTAATGCTTAAATAAGGAAGTAATTTACTTTTGTGTTCTAGATGAATTGTAAATCATTTAACTCCTAAACTAGCATTTTAAACATTGTTTTGCTGATTATTGTTTTAATTTATCAGCAATTTTATTTTTAAGCTTTTGGGTGTTGTAGTTAAGTTTAAGTGATAGGATATATTATTCATTATTTTGTTCTTACACATAACTTTCCTGTTGACAGCATGTTAGGCAATTTTTGAGATAAAAGTTTATTTTTTAAGAGATCGGCTTTTAAAATGGTAGTTAATTTCTTTCAAAAAATGGCTGACAAATTTACACATAAAAATTTGTAGAAAAGATTAAAATGCCGTGATTTTCTCCATGTCGAATCACCAGTAACAACAGTCTTCCATTGCAGAGATGACCTTTTATTAGAGGCTATGCCTCTGCAAAATATGCAAAAATAGTTTAAAAAGTTTGCAGATGACAAGCCAAACAATTAAGAAATATAATTTCTTTCAAAGGAAAACTGTTGTTCTGGTGATTTGACATGAAAATCAGGACAATTTAGTCTTTTCTAAGTATTTTTAATGATGATTGATATTTTGAATGAATGTGATCAGATGATAAATTACAAATATATGATTGTAACTAGGCAAGACTTCTAAGTGCATTCTTGTTAATCTGAACTAATTATTGCATAGAATTTGGTACAGATAAGCAGAGTTAAATATAAAGAAAATTAAGTCTACATCTATATATATAAGCCATTGTCACATCTGTAACGGCATCCATTGCCTAAAACGCCCACTAAGGGCATCCTAGCAATGATTTTAAATTAACAATAAATTAATTTTATTTGTAATAGGAATTTATTATTGATATGAATTTATGTGAACCCGAGGGGAGGTTGTAGGTCTCCTGCTTCTGTCACTAGTCAGGATGATACATCAGGCGAGTGGAGGGAGAGAATTTGGGGTCGACGATAAGGTGAAGGGCGTATCGAGTAAAGGAGGCGACCATTTAACAAATATAACAATTATTTATTAAAAGAAGCAAAATGACAAAAGGCTACAGAAACTTGTAGGTACACGAGTAAAACACAGATTCGGGCCAAGCGAACAAGAGAGATTGGCCGATCTACGATCGTGCGATAAAGACGCCGATCTGAAGGAGCAAGTTATCGTGGTGGCAATTAGTTAAAAGAGGCCATAAAGTTTATCGACGTAGAAAATCAGAAACGTGCTGTCATAAGCCGCCCTAAAGAGTTTCCTCGTTCTTTCATACCTCTTTATACAGTTTTCGACGATTTTGAACATGGAAGCACTTAAATATCGGTCCAAGGAATAAGGTAGTTATAATCCAATTGCGACACACATTACAAATACTTGCGACTTTGGCGAAGATTTAATTTTGAGGTTTATCGGAATTTGGATAATCGGCGCAATGTCGTCGGTCCGGTGTTCGTTCAGCAACTCCCCGATGGGGGGTAAGAATGACCTTTTATAGGTTTTTGTGGGGAATTTCCACCACGTGATCAGATGTTCATGAGTTAAAGGTTATAGGTGTCCCAGGGACCTAAAACTAGTGATGAAAGTTGGATGCTAACTATAAACTTTTCTGCAAGATGATCTGTAAGTTCTGCAGAGAACAATAGATGTTGATAGTTATGACCGGAGAGTTTACACATTCCTGGCTAAGATTGGTTTTTTCTTCTAGGACGTTACATAAATGAAAGTTTAATTAATTAACACTTTTGTTAATAAAGAGCGAAATTTTTGTTAATAAAAGAACGTAATTTACGTCACAAAAATTCTGGATCTCACAATTGTTTATACCACAGAATGGTATAAATAATTATTATATGCCTTGATTCTTGTGCCGCACGTTTACAACATCCCATGACTCAGTGAATGTTGCGCATTGACTCAAGGGAAATTTGTTGAAAAAAATGGCGGATACATTTAAAATCGAGATTTACAAGTGAAGGTAAATAAACAAATTAAACTATTTTAAAGTATTTATAGAATGTTTAATAGGTAGAAATCTAGATTTTTATGACGTGATTGGGAATTTAACAGCTGTAGAGCTTATTGATAAATAAAATAAAATAAGCCTTTAACTATCCAGCAATAAATAATGTTTAATAAAAAACGTTTTAAACTGTTTTTAAATGGCCATCTTCAGTTGAACCAATATTAAAAAAGAATACTAAAAAAGAGCGCATGAAATTCAAATTAAACAGAAACCGAAATGCACATACGTACTTCATTGGACTTACGTCTTCTGAAAATCTATAAATAACATGCAAATAACATAAAAAAATAATAAATAAAACATAAAAAATTTTTTATTAAACATTATTTATTGCTGGATAGTTAAAGGCTTATTTAATTTTATTTATATTATTCATTCCAGTATGAGCATATTGATAGGAACAAAAACATCAAAGGAATCGTGCCTCGTGGGAATTTGTAAAGAATGCCCACTGGGGGGTGTCCTGGACTACTAGTTCATGTATATATAAATGTATGTACGTGTAATATATACTTAAGTATAAACTGAATACATGAAAATTCTTACAAATTTGTTTCATAGACATAAATTGAGAGCTTGCATTTAAGATCAGAGAATATGTGAAGTTCAGAAATATTTTGTAACAATGCTCAGATAATTTAAGATAATAATTTATAATAAAATATCCCCTTTCCAGCTCATCCTAACAACAGTCAATTATACTGTTTGTGGGAAATTTATTCAAGGGGTATAACAACACTATCAAAAACTTACGGCAACCAAACTTTGTTTCCGTTAACCTGTTGATAGGTACAAAATGTTAACGTGCAACTTTCTGTATACTATTCTTACTTTACTTAAACTAAAAGACGCAGAGTTTCATAGACTGTTTTTGATGTTTGACATTACCATTCATTTTTATAGGTTATACTTTTAATTTGTTGTTGAAGCTTTAAACATAAAGAAATTAAAATGAACATTCAAATACCTGACTGCACAAATAATTAAAAAGGTAATTTTATTTTTACTCAAGTTTCAATTAAAATTGAAAACATTTTAATTTTTAACTTAATGTTTTTCTAGGATGAAGAATAAAATCTGTGCAAATTAATAACGTTTTTGAGATTTTAAAATATTTGATTTATATGTACTTTTTAAAGTATTCAATGGCCTCAAAGGGTTATATAAAGGTATGCTATTGAGTAGTTAATTGCAACGTTTACAATTAATAGTATATTTTTGTAATGCAACACTACACTAGAACTGCAGAATTTTGAGGTGAAGATCTCTATCAAGAGTGTTCTTGCTAGAGCCAGCACCTCAGAAAGAATTGCTGTTATACAAGTCATGCAGATTTTATTCTTGCATGAAATTTGAAAAAACAGCAACATTTAATAAATTCAATTAAGTTTTGATTTTAGAAGGTTAAAATTTATGGAATTTTAGTATGTGCTATGAGCATTTAAACAGCTAAGACTCAATATTTAATAATTATAATAATAAATTTGCTCCTACATATAAAAAATTACAAAATATGTTAAATTGAAATATATTTATTCTAAATATATATAAATTAGAATATAGTCATTCTTGTTAATACTCAATAAATATAAATAAAACTGATATCTATAATATGTAACATATAATTTATAAAGGGTATTATAAAGTAAGAAACATTTAAAAGTTGTAAAGTTTTATAAAACACTATACACAATGCCAAATACTATATTTACCACAGAAAACACTTTAGTAAACTTAATAGGGTACACACTTAATTAAAAAAAAGTGATAAAATGCTTTTTCCTTTCTTTTAGCTACATAGTACCACACGACTTACATCTAAAATCAACAAATAAACACTATACTCTCTCATATATAGATGTAAGATAAAACTATACTTAAGCTCACTAGTTTAATACTCCTAAAATTGTAATTGTCGTGCATTAATTTTATTGAGTTTAATTGTTTTTGTTGAAATTTGGTAAATAACCTGCCTGAAACGTATAGACAAATTTAACAATCAAAATCATAAATAAAGCTTTTAAGAGATATTTTGAGTTTGTTATTGAAGTTTGGAAATTAAAAACTTAATTGCATAAAATCATGCAAGTTGGGAAGAAATTGATAGTAGTACTGTGTTGTTTGGGATGTATAGCTTGCTGGCTTGTCAAACTAATGTGTTTGTTTTTATTGAACTTAGTATTTTACCTTAAAATTTGTTACTTCTCTCCAATGACCATTGGTCTTTGGAGAGAAGTAACAGCTCTATCTTATTACATGTGACAAATTCTTAGATAATTTATTAAAGCTAGTTTTTATGAAAGAATGTCTTCTGTACTTTCCCTCTAAAACACCTGCTTATTCTCAGCCTCAATGTATACTCTTATCAAATAATATTAGTATAACACTTACAAAAGTATAATTAATCCACTGTGCTGTGTTGATCCCTTCCCTCCCAGCTTGTTTTGCCCTCTCATTTCTATCTAATCATATAAAACTAAACTACAGAAATTATTCATAAAACAAGTTTTTGGCTTGCATTGTACCATATCTCTGAGCAACATTTCCTTACTCTATTACACAACCTAATAATCCATCTTTCTAGGATCATTACTATAGATGACTTTTTAGATAATAGCATTACATATATACTAAACTCTTGCACTTAATTATTTTGGCTTTGGGAGACATTAAAAATACTATCCTTTGTGGGTGGCTGTCCTGTGCTTGTTGTTCAGTTCTTTATATGGTTTAAATTTTTTAATTTAACAAGCTACTATCCAAATACATACAAAATACATTAAAATTTTATTATTAAGTTTTAGATTATATAATAGAATATTTTACATATTTGGTCTGGTATGTTTTTATGTGAAGTGGATTTAACAGACCCTCATGGGCCATTTAAATAATTGTATATTTCAGTTTTCATTGTCTAAATTCCTGTTCCTTCTTTTTCAGTTTGGATTTTGTCTTGTGCAGAAGTATTCTGAGGCCATCCGTTTATTGCCTGGGTAAATAGTTTTCTTTTGTGTACTTTGGCATTGTAGTTTTAAATTCTTGGATAATTTAAATTTGTGAAAAATATATGGACCGACAGTATGAGATCTTTGACTGACATTACCAAAATCTTCAAAGACCTTCAAGAAGCTGTGGCTGCCTTGGTAGAAAGTAAAAACACATACAGACAGACATTAGAGTCAAATATCCCATGTCTTCAGAGTATTGATCCTTCAGTACACAGTAATTACTAAGGAGTTTCAAGATAAACCAACACTTAACAAAGGTATTTGAGGGAAATTGAAGTGCCACTAACTGCCCAACCTATAAGAAACAGTTACACTCAGATATGATTAAAAAGCCATAGTTTGCCTAATAGCATGGTTTTGTATATCCTACTGGCAAAAACAATAAGAAAAGAGACATTAAGTAGCATATGTGAAAAGTAAATCTAGTGACATTGAAGGTGAGGGTTAAATCCAACAAATATAACAGGATGGGTTCCTTATTAACTGTAATAGTAAAGGAGCCAAGCAACTATTTGAATCTTTGAAGAAACACAAAGGTATTAGTCAGATGGCCCAAATAAGATATAGATGGAGTTTATCATTTAACATGTGTTAACTGCTACCTGTAATATGATATTTTGCGTACTTACCGGCCACATTGAGAAAATTTGATATTTAATATTTTATTATAATGTAAATAGAAAGGTTGCTATATAACAGTAGAGTGAAGATTAAAAAATATATGAATGATGACTGGCGGTCGTATTGGCCTTGAACCAGAGACTATAAGACCACCGGCTATTTATATTACAACCCGCTGTAATTACACGTGCTCATCTAATTAAAAGTTTTTACATGTATGTGTTAAAAGTATTTTACAATTTGTTTGGACTGCACATGTTTACTTCGTCTTGTAATCAAAGACGTGCAGGAGAAAGTACATGTGTGACATAGGCTAATAAAGAGCCCGTGCTGGTCGAGTTTTACATATTTGCTGTAAGCACAGTTGACAGTTATTTATAGTTAAGATAGCAAGCACAAGTGGTGTGTTGACCTTACATACTGAGCACAAAGAAAGCAGCGAAGATCTGAGCGACTATGATTCAATACATTCATCGAGTGAAGGTGAAGAATTGTGAGGTGAGTGACGTTTTGAAAATTATTCCTCCTAACAGACGCATAAAACATTGTCTTTTTGCACACATTCAGTGCAGGACTGAGAAATTAAATTTGTCCTTCAATGATGAGCCAATAAAGTTTTATGAACTTTTTATGAATGAGAAAGTAATTGAACATGTCACACAACAAACGAACATTTATGCAGCACAATCATTGGAAGGAAAAACTATTATTACAAGTAGCAGGCTAAGATTATGGAAAGAGACAAATACAGGGGAAATGATGAAATTTCTTGGTCTTTTGTTATGGATGGGTTTAGTGAGATACCCAAAGTTACCTGATTACATATATAAAAATGATATTGCACCACAAACCATGTCACGTAACAGATTCGAATTATTGCTATTGATGTGGCATGTCTCAAACAACGAAGAAGATAATGGTGGCCGACTACATAAAATAAATCCTCTGAAAGACATACTTGAAGAGCTTTATCAATACTATAATATACCTGGTGAATATTTATGTGTAGATGAAACAATTGTCCCATTTAGAGAATGATTATGTTTCCATCAATATATGCCTGGAAAACGTCACAAATACGATGTTAAACTGTACAAAGTTGCTGATACTACTGGATACACTTACAGCATACAAATTTAGAAAGGTAAAAGTGAAAGACCACAGGGAAATGTTTCCCTATCAACTGATATTATTCTAAAGCTAGGCGAAAAATAGTTAGGTGAAGGATGTACATTCACAACAGATAATTACTATACATTGATTGAGCTGGCAGAATATTTATTAGAAAGAAGTACCCATTTTATAGGAACCCTGAAAACAAATAGGAAATGTATCCCCAAGGAAGTAGTAAACAAAAAATTATGATTAATTATTTGAAGACATAATCCTTCCCAAAAAAGGAACCACTATTTATTAGCTTTGTGTTCCAGACAATACATTCTTGGCGACTGACCTTCCCTTCTAGGCTACAAGCTGCTAAAAAGTCCTTTAAAAAAACAAGAATACATCCAATTAAAAATACAAACATTTTTAAAACGAACTAGTAATGGACGTCTTCTGTTCTCCATCATACCTTCTTGGGGTTGTCTGCTTTTATCTACAACGAAATAAGTGCTGGTAAAATGTAGATTAGGAAAGGTACCCCCTGGTGATGATACCTTAAAATTATTGTTTAGTAATTTAATAAATATATATGTTTACTTTGTTCGCCTTAATTATTTATTAACATTTAAACCCGGGAGAGGTCGCATGACCCATTCCGACCTGCACCCCTATTTCATAATTGGCTGAATCGTTAATAATTAAGTTTTACCTATGTGACTCACATTAGCTTCCTAANAAAAGTCCTTTAAAAACACAAGAATACATCCAATTAAAAATACAAACATTTTTAAAACGAACTAGTAATGGACGTCTTCTGTTCTCCATCATACCTTCTTGGGGTTGTCTGCTTTTATCTACAACGAAATAAGTGCTGGTAAAATGTAGATTAGGAAAGGTACCCCCTGGTGACGATACCTTAAAATTATTGTTTAGTAATTTAATAAATATATATGTTTACTTTGTTCGCCTTAATTATTTATTAACATTTAAACCCGGGAGAGGTTGCATGACCCATTCCGACCTGCACCCCTATTTCATAATTGGCTGAATCGTTAATAATTAAGTTTTACCTATGTGACTCACAGTAGCTTCCTAAATTTATTGTTGTTATCGGAACATTTGGCCATTATTCAGTTTCTCAGAACGCATTAAGAGATAATTGCTCTGTGGGGTCATGGTGACCCGCAGTGACCTTTGACGTCTGCGTTAATTTGTAACGGGGGCGTGTGTCATCATGACCGACCATCTGTTTATTTTCAATCAGCAAACCCTTAGTTGTCACCTGCAAGTAATTTAGTGTTTCTAGGAATGTAGTTTTATTGAATGCATTTCTAAGAAATGTTTTTCGTTTATTTTTCGAAGCCTAAAGCAATTTTACTGCTATATAATAGTCAAACGACAGCTAGTAGTTGCTGTTTATAGTTGTGTTGCTTAGTCTTCTCATGTAAGAGTGTATAGAGTTAAGTAACTGTTATCAAATGTATAGAGTTTAGAATGGATCAGAAAGAGAGAGATAGAATACGTGCTATGCTAAACGAAAGTTTATCAGGAAACAAAGATGAGTACTTAGGTGGTGAAGAAAATGATGCTGGAAGTATTGTTAATGCAGAAGAAGAAAATGGGGATGATATTCAGTTTGATACTGATACATCACAAAGTGAAGATGAAGATAACATTCTCTCACGTGATGGAAACTTCTACACAGGAAAAGATGGTACAAAATGGAAGAAGGTGAAACAAATTCAGTCTGTGTGCACACGAGGACACACCATTGTCTCTCATCTTCCAGGTTCTAGAAGTGAAGCAAGAAATGCTAAAACATCTTTGGATGCCTGGCAGGTCTTTTTTCCTGATGCTATTCTACAAAATATAGTGGACTATACTAATGTCAATGTAGAAATCATTAGATCAAAGTATACCTACAACCTACAGATTTGGTGGAGATAAAAGCTCTCCTGGGACTTTTGTATCTTTCCGGTGTGTCAAAATCATCACACATACTGATGAATTGTGGAACGATGATGGCACAGGAGTTTCCATTTTTTGTGCAACAATGAACCAACAGCAATTTGGATTTTTGTTGAGGATGCTGCGCTTTGATGACAAGAGAGATCGTCAAGTAAGGATTGAAATTGATAAATTTGCTCCTGTGAGAGAAATATTTGAATATTTAGTAGAAAATTGTAAAAAAAAAATTTTTGTGTTAGTGAGTACACAACAATTGATGAAATGTTGTGGAGTTTTTGCGGCAGATTCACATTTCGTCAATTCATGAAAAGCAAGCCTGCTAAATATGGAATAAATGTGTTTTTGCTCGTAGATGCTAGGACCTACTACCCACTAAATATGGAAGTTTATTTAGGCAAACAACCTGATGGTCCATTTAGGCTTGATCAAACTCCTTCTGTCGTTGTGAAACATTTGATACAGCCAATCTCAGGTGCTGGACATAATGTAATGTATGACAATTGGTTTATGAGTGTTCCATTATCTTGAGAACTCCTATGTCAGAACAACCTCACAACAGTTGGAACAATAAGAAAAAACAAATGTGAGTTGCCTGCATCTTTTCTTATCAGCACTGGTAGAGAAGAATATTCTTCACTTTTTGGATTCGGAAAAGATCATGCAACTCTGGTTTCATATGCGCCTAAAAAAAAGGAAAGTTGTTTTATTGTTGTCAACAATGCATGAAGACGATGCAATTGACCCAGGAACAGGCGATAAAAAAAACCCGAAGCAATTACGTTTTATAATGCAACTAAGGGAGGAGTGGATACAGTTGACGAAATGTCAGGCAGCTGTTCTGTTCCAAGAAAAAGTCAGAGATGGCCACTGACAGTATTTTATCACATGTTAAACATAGCAGCTATTAACACCCTTGTTATAGTTGCATGTAATAAAAATCTCGAAAGCCGCTCTATTATACGGAGAAAGTTTTTGAAAGAAATAGCTTTAGGTCTAGTAAAGCCCTACATGAAACAGCGTCTCAGCATGCCAAATTTGAGCAGAAAGATAAAAAGTGACATATCAGAAATAATAAAAGAACCAGATGACACTCCAGAAAATACAGAAAAAAATGTATTATCTTCAAATAAAAGAAAAAGATGTGGAAAATGCCCAAGGACTGGAAATAAAACTTCCAATTACTGCGCGATATGCGAGACTCCAATTTGTGGGAAGCATGGAAAACTAACGTGTTTTGACTGCCTAAAACGTTGTTTTAGGCAGTCAAAACACATTAGTTTTCATAAATGTAA